TTATAATTCTATAAAAAAATATATTAATAATTAAAAAATTGTTAAATAAAATATAGTAATTTAATATTAAATATTTAGAGTTAGAGTCCCATAGCCTAGTGGTCTAGACATCTAACCCTCCACAGACAAGATCAACGGTTTGATTATAGCTGGTGGTAATTAATTTAATTAATTATTTCTGTAACCTACGGGAGCTTTTGAATGCGAAACCCTGTGATGATAAGACTATGTGAAGTACTTATTCGGTCTATAAAGAATTCTTGGAAGGAGTCCTGAGCTGTAGAGAAGACTGGGCACTACGTGTAATATGGTGTCACAGAAAGTAATACTGCATAAGGCTGTGCATGTAAATCCTCGATTGGCTAGGTAGTACCAACAACCCTAAGGCGGTCTTGGAGATCTTGATTGGGAGGACAGCTAAATGCAGCATATCTGGAAGTGGTGAGAGAAGCAGCGAATACAGCAAAGAGCTGTGATAAGAGGATGGCTTTACCAAATAAAGGAACACCTCTGGCATACAAGATTGGAAAAATTGGAAAACTAATAAGGAAACACTGCATATCACAACGTCGATGATAGGTGCCATACTGATACACTATAAGTCAAGGTTCTAGATGCCCTTGCATCACCAAGCTGGAAGCAAAACGATCGTCAGTAGTACACCCATATAACATAAGTTATAATAGGAAGCTTCGGCATCCATGCTATAGTCAATCATACCAACTATGGGAGCATTGTATAAAGTAGGTGGTATACTGCAGATAACAACTGGAGATTCGATAAATCCAGCCGTGTTATAAGGTATCAATATATAGAGAAAGCTGTGTACACCAATATGGGAGCAAGAAGAGTGACAAACCGCCAGAATGAACTAATTTGGGAGAATTATAAGGTTGCTGCAGGAAGTAGATAGGGGAGTGTAATAGTACGAAAATAAGTAACAATAAGAAAATCATGTAATATAGTATGTAATTGAGAACTAATTAGGAAGGTTGAAATTGAGATACAGATTGTGTTACGGCTACACCCCAAAAGGTGGCGTGAGATACAAACACAATAGTGGCAGTCAATATATACTAATTAGGAAGAAATTATAGAAAATAAATAGTTACATAGGTGGGACATGTAATGATAGGTTGCTCCAACCGATCCTAGCTTGAAGTTGGCTTGAAATAGTTAATAGAAAAGTAATATAGGAAAATAAGGAGTATAATGCCACATTGGGTGACTAGTAATAGTAGCACAAATGTAATTAGAAACTGTATATACGTTAGAGAAAAGCCTTTAAATAAAAATAAAATTTCTACATTGGCAATATAAAAAAAAAAAAAAAAAAAAAAAAAAAAAAAATTAAATCCCACTTGTTAGAAAATCAATAAATTAGCATTAGAATGTTAGTTAAAGATTAGTATAAGAGTGTTAATTTGAAAGTTGGTTTTTATACCAGAACAGCCTCATATTGGTCTTTCTTTTATTAATTAATTAAAAAGAATATACAAATATAAATATCCGTGAAGATCACCATGGTTTATCATATACATGTATTACGTAAGAATTGTCAGAATAGTTATTATCCTTGTTTTTGGATCTTTTGGACAGATATTCTTTTCTACATTATATGCTGCTTGATCAATGTTTGTTTTGGAAACTTCATCAGAGTGATAAGCACTTTGGTCAAGAATTTGCTCAAGATCCTTTTTAAATTCGTCAATTGTCCCGAAACAAGGTTTTATTTCATCAAGTAGCTTGTTCTTGGTATTGAATATATGTTAAATATCACGCTTTAATTAATCTTTTTTCTTTAATGATTATTTGATAAGTAGTTCAAAATTCAAATTGATCTATTAACAAATTTTTGTTTTATGCAAAAAAATATATATTTACATTAAAGTGTCTTGTATTTTTTCCTTTATGTTTTTTTGATAGTGCATTTTTTGTTGGATCTTGCACAGTTTTCTAATTTTCTCATCTATGCCGATAAAGCTGCTAAAGAACATATTTTAGTTCTGACTTATTATATAATATATTTCTAGCAATTGCCATATCAATTGCAGGCATAATGTCTTTAGAGATGTGTTGAGAAATTTCACTCCAGGTATAAGTATAGTCAAGAGATAAGGCATTATCAAGACTATCCAGTGTTTGTACAACCTCATCCTAATAATGATAAATATAAAAATTTAATGATAAATAAAATAACTAAAATAAATAAATCAAAAAACAAGTATTTTAGATTAAATGATTAAATTATACCCTAAACAGCTTATACTTTTCTTTATCTATGTCTTCAAGAACAATGTGAGGTTGTTATGAAAAACTATTTAAAGTTTTAGACCCAGCTACTCGCAATGCATGCTTGCCTTTTTCTCCAACTTCCAAGAGAGAATGTGATGATGCTTTCAATTCATTTAACTCAGCTGCTAACAATAAAACTTCTGACTAAAGTTTTGCAACTTCTGCACACAATATAAATAACTATTTATAAGGTAATATAATTAAATTTTAGTACAATAAGATACTTACTTTCTTCTGTTGTAGATTTTTCTATTGTAGCTTTTTCTCTGTGATTTTGGGAGTTAAGAGACATTGAATCCTGTTGAGAATTTTGTAAATGATGAGAAGAAGAGGAACAAGAGTGATGAGAAGGTGAATAATTAGAATGATTGGGAGAGAAAGAATGATAAGAATGATGAGAAGGTAAATGATAAGAATAACAAGAAGGTAAATAATAAGAATAACGAGAATATAAATGATGAGAATGACAAGAAGGTGAATGATGGGAATGACAAGAAGGTGAATGATGGGAATAACAAGAAGGTGAATAACAAAAATGATAAGAAGTTGAATGACGTGAATAATGGGAAAGTGAATAATATAAATAATGAGAAAGTGAATGATGAGAAGGGGACTGACAAAAATGACAAGAAGAAGAATGTTAAAAAGAGCATTGAGATAAAGAATGAGATTGATGAAGAGAATGGTAAGAAGATAACTGGAGAGATTGATGAGAAGAATAAGAGTGACAGTGAGAGGAGAGATGAAGAGAACTATGAGGAGAAGCTAAACGATTGGGGTGATGGGAGTGAGAAGAATGATTATTTGGAGACATTGTATCTCTACGAGAATATCAGGAATTCTAGACATATGGGATATACTGTGATGTAGAAAGGTTTCAATCTCTAAATTTATTTAAAAATTTTTCAATAAAAAAACTAATATATTAAAAGAATGAGCCCAATAGGCCAATTTTTAGTTTTGCATAATATCTTTACTTTTAGTTGCTTATAGCTAATTATTCACATATAAAAGACATATCAACAATATATAAATAGCAAAATATTTTAAGAGTGCTATATATATTACAATAAATAAAAAATTATATTATCATATTTTTATTTTAAATTCTATAATATTTAAGTATGAATCAGAATGTAATATATAAGTTAACATGTATTGATTCATCAGATCTTTAAAAAAAAACTTTGTAGATTACTAGAAAAATAAACTTCGATATATTTTGCAAATAAATTTAATAATTGAATATATATAATTTATAGTCAAAATTTGATGCATGCTATTTCAAAAGGGTATAAGAATCAGTAATGCAGTATCATCGTATAATCTAGAAATGTGTATTTTTCATGCCTTGAGTTAATTGATTATTCGGTATTAATGCATGACTACAAAAAATGTGCATTTTTCATAAATTAATTAAAATGATAAACTAATTGAAGCCCAAATTCAAAGCTAGTAAATCTAAAGAAAAGAAAGAAAGTAAGAAAATTAGAATACTATAATAATTAAATTTTAAAGTATAGAATTGAAACATATATAGATTACAGGTTAACTTTTTCTGAAATACCATTTCACCAAAACTATTATATTGACAATTTTTTTTTACAGATGACATATTTTGATATATTATTTTCCCAAAAATTACTTAATTGATAACAAATTTTTTCAATTAGACTCTATTATATTGCAAAATTGATTGTGTCTTGTCAGATAAAATTATCAATAAATAGAATCAGAGAAATAATACTTTGAGAAAATAGGCATTAAAAAATTGAATAACAATAGCTACAGTATTTTCTTTTGACTACTGTATTTTATTGTCAGAAATACAATATATTAATAATAAAATATTAACTTATTGTTTTGAATTCTTGTTTATTTTGACTATTTCATTTCAAAAAATTTTATAACTATGGGTCACAAATCAAAAAAAAACTATATTAAAAATGTTACTAAAAAAAAATCTGCTCCAATAAAAGTCTTTACCTCTAAAACAGTTTCAAGAGGACAAAGAGTTCCAGTAGAATGCCATTGCAAAATTTGCAAGGGAAAGCTTGTTGATCCACGTGTAAAAGAAAATCATATAAAAAAGAAAGCGCATAAAATACGAAGCTTTACTAGTTTAATGAATTCTGCTGAGTTTTCTAATATATTAACTGATGAAGATATAACATATGATTCAATGGAATTGGATAAAAATGAGGAGATAGATAATAATATTAATGAAGATTTTAATTTTCTTGTCAAGAAATTAAAAAGATTTACTGAAAAAATAAAACCAAGTAAACACAGTAGCGGTTCTAGCAATATTATATATCCAATAGTTTTAATTGAACAGCTTTTGTCTGAAAGTGAATATGAAGAGGAAGAGAATATTATTAATGATATAAATATTGAAGAGAAGGATAATGAGGATTTGAGTAGTAATGATGAATTAGAAGACTTTATTAACTTTGATGCTCCAGAGTATGATAATAAAAATATTGCAAATATTATAATACCTAATATTAATGATGAAGAAGATTTTTTTGGATTGTTTTGTGGATCCTCAGATTTCAAGAAAGATATCGGTTATCTGACAAAGCAACCAAATCACTTATTAGATATCTTTTAATATCTATTGATAAAAATAAATACTTAACATTTCCAACTTAACTAAAAATAGCACGCAAAATGCTTGGAATTTGTACTCACTTAATTAAGTATGCTGCCTGTCTAAAAGGTTGAAATTATATGCAATTAATGATTTAACAACTTCAAAGCATAATGAACAACCAAAGATTATAAAATGTATATTTAGAGACTTGCCAAATCATTCTATGGCTGATAAGAGATTGCCATGTGACACTTTTCTTACAAAAAAAATATCAATAAGCCAAGGTATAATCTATAAGCCAAATCTAATTTTTCCTACAATTAGTATTAAGTATTAGTTACAACAACTATATAATAAAAATAGATTTGAAAAATTATGTCAAAGGTGGGCTAATCGATTAATAATTGTCAAGTGTTAACAGATATATATGATGGAAAAGTTTGGCAAACCTTTAAAGACCCAAATGAAAATTTATCATTTTTTTGAAAAGATGTATCTGATAGTCATCTTGGAATTATGTTGAACCTCAATTAGTTTCAACTTTATGATAATTCTACATATAGTATAGATGCAATATATGGTTTAATTTGCAATCTTCCAAGAAGTGAAAGATTTAAATCATATAATATAATTACTTTAGTACTAATTCTTGGTATGCATGAGCCTAAATTGCATCAATTTAATCATTATTTAGCTCTACTAATTGATCAATTAATTGAATTGTGGGAAGAAGTTGTATTATCAAGTATCTATAAATATTCTACAGGTAGATTTGTTTGTAGAGCAGTTATTTGCTATGCATGTGATATACTAGCAGCAATAAAACTCTGTGGATTCATATCAGCTCGTATTGCATATTACAGATGTGTTAAAAAAGCTAATTTTGATAATAAAAATCAGCCAAATTTTGGTGGATTTGATAATATAGATCTATGGTTTATTTCATAGAAGGTTGAAGAAATAAGAAACAATACATTATTATGAAAAAAATGTAATACTAATAAGGCTCAAAAAAATCATATTTCTAATAAGTTAATTTGTTGGTCTGAAATATATCGCCTTCCATACTTTGATTCTGTACGATTTCTTATAATTGATTCTATGCATTGTCTATTTTTAGGCATTGCCAAATGAATCATAATACAGCTGTGAATAGAAGGAGGTCAGTTAACACCAAAATATTTATAAATTATGCAAAAACGAGCCAATATATTAAAAATTCTATTAGATATTGGCCGATTACCAAATAAAATAGCTAGAGGTAAAGGTTTTTCATGGTTCATAGCTGATTAATGGAAAACTTTTATTCTAATATATATTACTTCTATTACTTGGGACCTGCTTCGAAATAATGATAGAAAAATATTAGCTTATTTTGTAAGAGCATGTAATATCCTTGTATGTCATATTATTTCTAAATCGGCATTTCAAGATGAGTGTTTGCTATCTATGGTAAGAATTGTTGAAGAGGTTTATGGACCAGAGAAGATTACACCAAATATGCATTTGTGTTTGTATATTTGTGAGTGCGCACTTGATTATGGCCCATTATATTCATTTTGGTGTTATAGCTTTGAGCGAATGAATAGCCTATTAGGTAATGTTATTAGTGTTTTTATATAATTATATAATATCAAAGTTCAATTAAGAAATTATCTTGGTTTTATCCAGAGTAGTAAATAATTTATTGTTATTTTGTATATATGTATATATAATTAAACAATACTAATCTAATTTATATTACACTTGATACAAACAGGATTTTTATTTAAATTAATATACCTAATATATATGTTGTTATATAGGTTCTTTACAATAGTAACTGGCAAATCAAAACTGAATTGCTTTAAATTATTTAGTCGCATTCTCTTCTTAATGGGCTTTCTTTACATGCTAATAAGAACGTACATCTCTTGAATTGCTTAAATTATATTGATGATAAAAAGATAGTTGGTAGTCTTGTAAATGAAGAAGAAATTGACATGATAAATTTTTTATCAATGTCACAAAACATACTAGAAAAGCAGGAGCAAGCTCTGAGCCATTTCCTGGAGAATTACTTAAGCCATTAAAAAAGAATGTGAATTTGTCAACAAATCTGCTAAAATTATTAGTAGAATATTATCATAATTTATATAGCTTATTATTTAGCTCTCTGTTAGAAATTTATATTGCCCCTTCAGAATCAATTTCTATTTTATCTAAGGTTAATCAATTTGGTAGATTGAGACTTGGATCTGAAATTATTGGTTCAACCTTCTCAGCAAGACATGTTAGATCAGCAAACATACTAGCATGATTTATTTCTTTAGATAATACAGTTGATACTTATCCTGGCCAAGTTCAATTCTTTTTTGAGCATACTATATAATTACTGAAAGGGCTAGTTAAACACACTTTGGCATTTGTCAGATAGTATATGGCAGCTGATGATCACAAAACTCGATTTCACTGCAGTATTAATAATAATTTGAGCACATGTAATATCGAGTTATGGAAAAATGAATTCTATAATATGAGTTATGACTGTATTATACTAGTATATAATATATTGGGTCATGCTATTATTGGAACAATGAAGATAGGCCAGAAGAATCCAAAAAACCTTTTAGCTATTATTCCAATTAATAGAAAAATTTATATTTAGCAATAGGCAAAACTATTATATATATAAGTAGAAATGGAATTTAAAAAAAATAATTTAATTAATTGTAGTTAAGTATTTATAGTTTTTGCATACATCTATATAAGTCTATATATAATATTTTTACTAAATCTTATTTTAAATTCTTGTAATGTAATAATATTGTTAAAGAAAACTATATTTCAAAATTTTAGTTTTATAATTTATTAGACTTATAAAAAATTTACAAGTTTAGTAAAAAAATATAAATTTAAATTCTGAAGTTGTGTTTTTTTTCTAGCAGTGATATTTATTTTTCTTACCTTAAACTATCCTACTATGTATTAATTTTATCTTTTCTAATTTTTGCTCTATTATATAGTAAAGCGACTATTATATAATTTGATATGAAAATATATATGTACATTATTATTATGCTTAATTCAAAAAATCTTTAAATTTTTATGTATGTATGTATATACTTAATCTATTTTTTTTTTTGTATATATCATGGGTAAGAAAAAGTTACTATTGTTATATAAATTGAAAGAAAGATCAAATTATCTTTCTATTAAAGAGCAAGAAGAATCAGTATCCACTAGAAGAATCATCAAACTACGTAGTAAAAAAATATAAGTATATGGTATTTCTCCTATGTAGTATGTATTTTGAAAAGATTAAATCAAGTAATAACAGTAAATATATAAGTAAGTATTGATACGTATGTAGCAGCATTTTTTACTTATTTTAATAAAACTTTAGTAATATATATTACCTTTGTAAGCTCGCTTTTTTATGTTTATTCATTTTCTTTTTGGAATTAAACTTTCTAATGGGACGGCAAATTGAAAATTGATGCTGAAGAAAATTGATGCTGCTGAAGAAAATCGATGCTGAAGAAAAATTGGTGCTGAAAAAAATCGAAGCAAAGGAAAATTGATGCAGAAGAAAAATAGGAATGAGGGCTTTTTTTTTTTTTTTTTAAGTTTTTTTTTTTCTTTTTTTTCCTAAGCTAATTATTATTATTTTTCCTTAATTTTAACTTTATTTTTTTTTTTCTTATTTTTTTTCTTAGGATGGTTCTTCTTGAATTTAGTTAAACGTCAAGTAGACCCGCCTTATATTAGTTTTTTTTTTTTTTTTTTTTTTTTTTTTTAGGGGTCTTCTTGTATTTAGTTTAAGTCTTCAGTTAACTCATGGCAATAAATTTGTATGTCAGTTTGATATAAAAATTGATTGCCAAAACTAGTGAGTACATATTATTTGAAATTAGTTATTAAAACTCTGAATACGTACGTAGAAAATGTCTTAAGTATTGTTGCAATAATGCGTAAATTATATAGTATTTTTAAATTCTAAAAATTCTGCATATTACCATTGTTGAAACAATGATAATATGCAGAATTTATAAGACTCTTAATTATTTGTCACAATACCAGGTTTACTATGGCATTTTTGGTGATGTGCGTGCGTCCACAAATCTCACCTAGTACTACGTATACACTTAGTATGAGATTTGTTTAACCATAACGAACATGCAACTTGTACGTATTTAAAGTGAATGACGATCAATGTTTTTTTTATTATTGTCCTTCGGAATTGAACTAACCAAATATGGATTTACTGTCAATAACGTCTTATTCCGAAGCCAGTCTGCAACTAAGTAGGCTTTTTAAAGTCATAGCGATAGTACCAGATTAGGCCATAGTTATTGAAGTCGTCATGGCTAGAGCATGTATCGATACAGTACTACAGTATTATTACATAGCTACAGTAATAATGATTTTAAGGCAACATAGTATTTAAAGAAGCCATACAAGCATTAACATCGCTAATAGGATAATATTGGTCTACAAAACTCTTCGTCATATAATGTCAGGTTTTCACATTTAAATTTTTATTCGTATTGATTTAAAATTCTCTCAAGCAAATAATTAATAGACCAAAGCTCAATTTCTAATTTTTGAGAAGTGTTTAACCGGTAAGTAGGTTCGTTATCTTGACATTTTTGTTATAGACTTGTTCTTGTTGGCTAAAATTTATTATCCGCATTTTGCAATATGAATTTTTAGCAAAATTACAGTAAGGATTGCTTTGATTAATCATAGTACATATGCATGATCTCAGTAGCTAGCAAGTACTCCATTAACAACCCTACTAATCACCATTAGCCTCTAAGTTTAGCGATTATTTATTTGTTTAATTAATCTATGTATTTAATATGGGCTGTTTAACTCTCATTTAGCTTCTTATACAATATGCATAATTTAGACTTTTAATAACTTATATGTTTTCTAATTTTATTTATAAATATTTAATTTGTTATAAGTCACATATCAGGTTTCCGATATCTGACCTATTCTATTAAGATTGTTTTTAATATTCATATAATATATCAGAGACTATGATATATTATCTATATTTGTCTTATATTTTATAATAGTTTGTATCCGATATCTTATTATTTACCAGTAGCATATCGGGTTTCTGATATTTTACTGATTTTAACTTGATTTTATTTAATATTTATAAATATATCGGAAATTCCGATATATAATTATAAATAATTCTATATTTACCTGATATGTTATGATAGTTTATATACCGATACTTCATCATTTAACTAGTGTACGTGCGTAGGTACGTTGTTATCATCTGGGTTGGTAGAGCATACACAGTTTATCTTGATGGTCAAATACTTGTGGAGGATAGTAATGAAAGGCTTTGAGATATCTCATTAACCTCCCTATTTATTAGGGTCTCGAGGCTTTCTTTTAATAGATGGCTATGGATAAATATTTATCATTTGCATTCGTATGTACGTACTAACAGATCTTGAATGAATACATTTTCGTACTAAATTAGTATTGTACAACCCTGAATATCACGTATCAAAATAAATCACATACCTCTACTATATTAAAAATTATTAACCAATCAATATTCTCGAAAATAGATTTTCGAAAATTTATATATAAGCGCCAAATTTATAAAAGTCATATATTTTAAATTGTTATTAAAAACCCTCTTCGAATTTGTTAATTAAATAAAATAAAAAAAAAAACAAATTGAAAGAGGAATTTTATTCAAACAATTTATACCAATTAAATTTACTATATAAAAATCGATAAATACGTTCAAATACCATAAGAAAAACAAAACATATCCCAAGTCCATTTAACATGTCAGAGGAAAGGATTATTTTAAATATTGGAGGAATTAAGGTATAGAAAGTAACAAGTAAATTTTTAGTTACTTTTACTTACACATATTTTGCTTACATGTTATATATATATATTTAATATACAGTATGAAACTCTTCGGTCAACGCTCACTGCTCAGCCAGAGACATTACTTGGAACAATGTTTCGAGATCAAAGTGAATATATTAAAAATTTGGTTAATGGAAATGAATATTTTTTTAATCGTAATGGCAAAGCATTTTACTACATAATGGAATTTTATCGAACTGGAAAGTTTTTATGGTCCACTGAAATCAAAGATTCACAAGTTACTTATCAACAGCTTAAAGAGGAACTTGATTATTTTCAAATTAATCAATCAAATGTATTTTTTTCATTGGCATCAGAAACTGCTGCGAATACAATTGATCGATTCATTACAAGCCTTGAACAATTAATCATTAGTCATTACATATACAATTTTGACAAAGAATTTCAATTATCAGTTTATAGTAATAATAACAATAAGGATAATCGTCTTAGAGAATTTAGAGGATGTGCTTTTGATATCATGAGTAATATGGAAAACCAGATTGAAAAGCATTTAGTTGGAACTTTTGCCGATTTAAAATTAAAATGGAACTGTCAACTGAGAAATTATATTTCAGCTTATTTTAGTTATAAAGTCTTTGAGATCGTTGTTACTTTTTCTTCTCCAGTTGAAAAGCTGTTAAAATCTGAGAATTCTCAAGCCCAAACGATATATATTCAAGACCCGATCAACAAGTCAGAAAAGATTGTTTTAAATATTGGAGGAGAAAAGGTAATGTATAAAATATAATAAATCGTTTTTTAAATTACTTTTACTTAAGTGGTGTAGTATTTATATTAATATATATATATATATTATTACATAGTATGAAACCTTTCAATCAATTCTTATGGCACAACCAAAAACTTTACTTGGAACAATGTTTCAAGATCGAAATAAATGTATGAGACATCCAATGAATGGAAATGAATATTTTTTTGATCGTAATAGTGAAGCATTTTATTATATAATGGAATTTTATCGAACTGGAAAACTTACTTTGCCCAATGAATCTGGAAAAGTCACCTACAAACAACTTGAAGAAGAGCTTGATTATTTTCAAATCCCTTTTGATAAGCCGGCAGTAATTTGTTCGTCAATTTTAGGAATTATTAGAAATAATATTGATAACCTCATTTCTGCCTTTGAAGAATTGATCATTCGTTGTTGCAAATATTTTATAAATCATATCAAATTAGAACTTAAAAATAATGAGATTCATATAATTAATGACAAGTCGGATAATAGACATTATTATGATCTTCAAGATATACAAAAGTTTTGTTCATCTAGGTTTATGTATGATGAGACTCGTGTTATTTTAGATAATATGGGAAAACATATTGAAGATCATTTAGTTATAAGATTTCTTGATTTAAACCTAAAATACGAATCCGGACAAAATAGTAATGGCCTACCTTTTATCTCTATCACTTTTTTATTTGAAAATGTTTATAAAAATTTTAATTGAAAGGAAATAAAAAATATACAATAATGTGTTATTTTACTATGAAGATAGCAGATTAATACAAAGAAATACATTTGAGACTAAAATAATATTTAACATTAGAATTTTTTTTAAAAAAACAGAATTGGTTATATAATCAACTTTATATTTTTTTAGAAATTATATAAACCTAAAAATTATAAATCTTAAAAATTATTGTCGCTAACAAGTTAATACAAATATAAAACAATTTTGCAGGAAAACATATTTTTACATAGTTTATCAAAAGGAATACTTTTTTATATTATCATAATAGCTAATAACCTTAGAGTAAAAGATGGTCTAAGTTTAATGGTCCCGGAGAATTACTGTGGTGATAACGGAGGTTTAGATTAGTCCTAATATCAGTTATTATTACATAATTGTTAAAGATAAAATATAATCTGATCCTGTGATTTTTGTGATATTTAGGGTGCTCTCAAGCGCCTCAATCAATAGATCGGTGTATAAATTTTAATGAATAAAAAGTAGCTCAGCCGGTCAAGAGAGTTTATCACCGCAGTCAAAAAAAAAGATGGTTAGTGACCATCTTTTTTCTTTATGGAGCTGCGCTGATTGGCCAAAATTTATCATAGAGTGAGATTATTCAAGCACTTTACGATCAAATCATTATTTTTTTATGATCAACCCATAATTTTTTTTACAATCGAACTATTATTTTTTTTTTATAATCAAATCTTTTTTTTTTTTTACGATCGAATCATTATACTTTGCACTTATACTTTGCACTAAATACACTTCTAACAATATGGATATTCGCCGTCAACAACAAATTACTTTTAACTCTTCGTGCTAGAAGCTTTCATGACAAATAAAAAATATCAAGAAACCCCAAAAAAATAACTGACAATTGTTATCTTCGGATGATGTTCATTGATTATTTGGTTTATTTCCTGAAATAGTATTGGTGTTGGATGAACTTGATATTTTATAAATTTTCTTGACTACTATTAGTAATAGAAGTTTGATTATTGTCACTAACGGATAACTTTAAAAGAGATATCTAAAAAAATTTTTTATTAATTCTTTATAAAAAATTACAAATTTAAATAAAATTCAATATA